CAGAAGGCATGCAGCAACTCGCCTCACAGCCTGGAGCTGCAACCAGGTGACACGTGAGCGACGATGGAAAACGGGATCGTTCTCACCGACATAGGCGCGTAAGCTGCCCGCACCAGGAAGCGCGCAAGTGCCCTCGCTTCCGATGCAGCGCAGCATGCCGCGCCAGCGGCCCGCGCGAGCCGCCGCGTACGGTCGCGATGCCATCTCGCGTACGGCCCGTGTTTTCTTTCGTCGCTCGGGTGGCACCTGTCCTCCCCCAGCCGCCCAGAGGGCCTTGACCTGCGGCGGCCCTCCTCCTACGGGCCCGGGTGCCGCCTCTCTCCGGGGCTTCTCGGAAGGCTCGGGTTGCAGACCGGCGGCCTCACACGGGTGCTTCCTGGGGGGTCTTGGGAGCCCTCGGGACATCGTCGGCGATCTCTCGAAGAAGAATAAACGATGACCAGCGTGGACCCTGAAACGTGCGCTCCTGCACTGCGGAGATGGAAGCTATGCGGTGCACGCCACGTGCTGAAAGCTATGATTTGTGTGAGCTGTGTGGTGTGAGCTATGGATGGAGGTGAAACCCACTCTGCAGAACTTGAAGTCGTCATCTCCACTGCTCGCGCAAACATCCCACCCACCCACCCGCAACTTGGTTTGCAAAACCTCTTAAGACCGACTACGACGACACCGACGACAACGACTACGACGACACCGACGACGTCTCCGACGACTTCGACGACAACGACGCCGACGCCGACGACGACGACGACGACGACGACGACGCCAACGAAGGCGACGACGAGGGAGGAGGAAGGACGACGACGGCGACAACGACGACAACGACGACAACGACGAGTGAGGAGGGAGGACGGCGACGACGCGAACGACGAAGAAGGAGGCAGGACGGCGACGCCGACGACGACAACGACGAGGGAGGAGGGAAGACGACGACGACAACGAACGACGACGACGACGGCGACGAAATAGGAGGGACGACGACGAGACGCCGACGACGGACGACGACGACGACGAGGGAGGAGGAGGAAGGACGACCACGGCGACAACGACGACGGAAACGACCACGACGCCAAAGAGGACGACGACGACGAACACGAGGACAGACAGAGGGCGACGTAGGCGACGACGACGACGACGACGACGCGGGAGGAGGGAGGACGGCGACGACGACGACGACGACGACGACGACGACGACGACGCAAGAGCGCGCGCGCACGCTTTTGTTGAAAATCCGTGTTGCGAAACCTTGGGTTTTTGTAGGTTTTTTGGACACGATTTTGAAATCCTTCCGAAACCGATGGGTTTTGAAGGTTTTCGGCATACGCCCGCGACGACGCGCGCGTCTGCACTTCGTCCCGTTTTTTGCAGAGGATTCTCGCGACGGCACACGCGCAAGGGCGTTCGACAGATTTCGACATGCGCGCGCGACGCCCGTTTGGTAGCATGTTGCGAAAATCTTTAAAAGAAAAACAAAACAAAACAAAAAACAAAAAAACATGGTTTTCTTAAGATTGCGCAAGAGCTCGCGCGGAAGCTGTTTTAGCAGATCAGTGTTGCGAAACCCTGTGTTTTTGTATGTTTCGTGGAAACTCGATTGCGAAATCTTTCCGGCACCGAAGGTTTTTGAAGGATTTCGGCATGCGCGCGCGACGACGCGCGCGTGTGCACTTCGTCCCATTTGTCGCAAGGGATTCGTGAAAAAGTGCTATGTTAGAACAAAAAATGTCACCGCATAGTGCGTTTTACAAGGGACCCTCAGAGGGGGGGGGGTACCAGTTGGCATTTGACATTGTGATTTCATATTTAGGATGGACATGTGGTCTGAATCATGTACGATTTACATACCCGAAATGGGGACCGATAACGCCGGGGGGCGGGGGAGAGTCTATTCTGCTTTTACAGAGGAGAATATATTGGACGTAAGCTACGTGCTGCACGCCAGGGTGTACAAGCTGTGCGATGTGAGCTACGCGGTGTAAGGCGGCCACGGGCGTCCACGTGCCGGATCCTCGGCAGGCCCCCGCCGGCGGAAGCGGGCGGCAGCGCGGCGAATCCTCGGTAGGCCCCCATGGGCGTCCACGGGCGGCAGCGTGGCGAAACCTCGGCGGCCCCCTCATGCTCGATGGGTGGCAACGGGCGGCGACGTGGTGAAACCTGGGCGGATTCATCCAACTCTTAACGCTTCGCGTATCACCACCAGCCCCACCGCTTTAGGTTCATTCGTCTTGGCGCGCCCCGCTCTGACTGGACTCGCCGCTGGCGCGCTCGCCTGCGGCCGCTGACTAAAAAGTAGCAGCACCAGTCGATGCAGGAACGATGCCCAGGGGAGCCTCTTGGGGCTCTCTCAGGGCCCTCTTGGGGCCCGTTTAGGGCTCGTTTGAGGGGTCTTGGGGCCCTCCGGGAGCCCTCTTGGGAGCCTCTTGGGAGTCCTGGAGAGCCTCTTTGGGCCATCTTGGAGGCCAATGGGGGGAAGCTCCTTTATCTAGCCCTCCCCTCAAGAGCCCTCAAAACCACCTCGGTGGCGTTATTGAGGCGCTTGGGGGTGCTCGTGTTGGGCCCTTCTTTGGGATCTCTTGGGCCATCTTGAGGCTTCGGGAACCACTCAGACCCGCAAAGGCGAGAAAGCAAAATGCATTAGATTCCTTTTTCTTTTTGAAGGATGTTGGACTCTTGGGGGGATCTTTGGGTGTCTCCGAGAGCACTTGGAGCCGTCTTGTAGCCATCTTGGGGCCTCGTGGCTGCATGCCTGAAGCTATCTTGACCCAGATTCGGCTATCGTGAGCCAGCTTGGAGGCCATCTTAGAGCATCGGAGGCCCTCTCGGAGCGATCTTGGCCGAAAACGGACCCCCTGACACATCCGTCCCCCTCACATCTAGGCCCCTCTGAAGGGGTAAAGGGGAGGTCAAGCTACCCACAAGGAACAGGCCGTCTCGCTCATTCCCACACGCCATCCCAACACAGAAGTAGCATCCGAGTCTCACCATGGGCAGAAGCCGCCATCGACAGCCATCGGGAACCAATGCAGACGCCAGCCAGGTGCGCGAAGCCCGAGAAGTGAACCGCACCTTCCAGCTGCGCCACGCGCACCAGGTGCGCCACATTGGATACATTGGAGGCCCATGCCAAGAAACACCCTGCTTGCCTCCAGGGTGCCCTGGGTTTCCTGGGTTTCGATGGCTTTGCGATGGAGAGCATGACGTGCCCACACCAAAAGTCAAAGTCGGTGGACGCCCTGGGGCCTCGGGGTTGCATTTCTTTTGGAAGGTGTCTTGTAGCCGGGCCCCCGCTGTGCGTCCACGCTACCGCCGCCCCCGTCAGGCAGCAGTACAGGGTGCCGGCGGGTCTGTGTTTGCGTGCGGGCGTGCCGCCACTGCCGCTCTATTTTTTGGGGTTTGTTGCGCACGGACTGTGGGCCTGCGCACCGCAGGCAGGCAGCATGCCGCCTCCCGCCCCCCCCCCCCCGTCCTTGGCAGCATGAGCTTTGCTTGCTTTTCTCTTGAAGGGCATGGTGGGCCTGCACACGGCAAACAATACAGTCAAAACGTTGAAATAAGGAACAAATTGAGTTCGGAAGGGGCTCGATGTTCCTTAGGCTCCTCCATCGCTGTTCGTCCTGCCCTCCTTGGGCACGGCGGCGCCTTTACGGCCAAAATGGGGCTTCGTTCCTTATTTGGCGTTCCTTCTTTCAGCGGCCCGATTGTATACTGCCCCCCCCCCCCGCCGTCCCTGTCAGAAGCCCATGCAAGGGGATCGCGGGTCCTCCGCGCATAATCCAGATGTTGGCGCAAAGTGCATTCGGAACTGTTTTTGTTCCCAGGGAATGCGGGAGGGTGTTGGCCTGCACGAAACAAACAATAGGGTTGCACCCCCGCCGTCCCTGTCAGAAACCATGCGAGCGGGTCGCGGGGCTTCCGCGCATGCCCCAGATTTGGAAGCAAATTGTATCTTACACTCTTTTGTAAATAGGGATGATGGGAGTGGGGTGCGCATGGGTCCGGGTTGGCTGCGGGTCGTGTGGGGGAGGGGGTGTCTGTGGATAGGGAGCAGCGAGGAATCCCTCCCCGAAGGGGAAGAAGGAGGTGATGGAAGGGGAAAAAAAACGAACTCGTGAGACCACCCACGCCAAGAGAGCTGGTGGGATTCCTCAGCAGCCGTCCAGGCGCGGCGGGCGGCAACGGGCGGCGACGTGACGAGACCTCGGCGGACCCCCCAGGCGCGGTGGGCGGCAGCGAGGGGGGCAGCGGGACGGGAGGCAGCGTGGCGAGACCTCGGCGGGCCCGTCTCGTTCCTCGGCGGCCGAAGCGAGGGCCCCCCCCCCCTTTGGGTGCAGGCGCCGCTTTTGGGGGGGGGGGGAAGCTGCACGGGCATGGCCTGCCGAGGCTCTGGCGCTGCTCTGGCTGAGGTCGGCGCTGGGCGCCCCCTGGCGGCGCCTCCAGCGCGGCCTCGGGCGCGCGCCCCGGCACGCCAGCGGAGGGGGCCTCCGGCGCCCGACCCGAGAGGTCCGCGCGGACCTCCGCAAGCCGCTGCTTGCGCGGGTGTTTCCCTCCCTGCCAAGGAGGCGTGCTCGGGCGGTCTTCGGCGGCCTTGGCGCCATCCGGGGAAGCCTTCAGGCCGTGCGACGGGGTCGTGGGTCCGTCTGGAGGGGGCTCCTGGGGCAGATCGTGTCAGACTGAGTCGCGGTTGGAGTAAGTCCCTCAGCTGTCCCCAGGCCGTCGTTGGCTAGTCTTGGCCATTCAGGCTTCCCGCAAGATCCAAATGTTCTAGTACTGAGGACAAGCAAGGACTTTCGGGTCGCTCATTTACGCTCCAGGGGCAACGGCGGTGAAGGTACGCACATGCAGAGACGGGTGATCACAACAGAGAAGCGTACACATACACGTGGATGTGCAACATGGGGCTGATATGCGCAAAGGCGCATGGTCCTCATGATTTCCTCCCTTGCGTGCCCCGATGCCCTGTCGTGACAAGTGGCCCTCTGTGACGGTAACGGGGTGCACAGGTACTACAATGATGGCACGCAGTTGCTTTCCGACGAGCAGTACAACAAGCTCAAAGAAGAGTCACGCCGCCCGCCGCAGCCCTCAGAGCAGCTGCCGGCCGGCTGTTGCGCTTGAGCAGCACGGCGGGGGCGGTCGTTTAAGGAATGTGCCAGGGAGGCAGACCTTCGAAGATGCTTTATCTGATGATGGCGGTTGCGATGTCCACGGTCAAGCCTCGATTGGTGTTCCACCAGCTTTCAGACCCTGGATTCGTCATTCAAGGGGTCCTCATCCAATATCCTCATCGTGTGTGCTTGTGGAGAAAGGCAGCCAAGCTGCAAGCTCGAGGACGGACGTGCGCGGGTTTCGTAGTCGAGGTCGGTTTGGGATACGGCTTCGGACACGTGCGATGTCTCGGACGACCGCAGGAGCGCGAGCGACGTGCGCACGCGCACTTCGCTGATGCAGCGCGTGTGTCGCTGTTAACGTTCTGTGCCGCTGTCGTTGCTGGTGAGCGCACGTGACAGCCCATTCGGCGCAGAGACCATAAGCAGCACAGCACATACGGTGTTTGAGAGGAGACACCCAGTTCCTGCTGCGCTCGGACACGGAGTCGGCTTTGCCGCAGCACGCGGTTTGTGTGTGTGCGTGCGCGCGGGTCTTGGATCAGGGCGTTTGCGCTCGCGTGTGCGCAAGGTGGTCATTGCGTGCCTTCTTTAGCAATGTGATGCGCACGTGGCCAAGCATGCGGGTGCTTGTCGCGGGGCTACGGCCAGCTGCACGTTGGGCTTGGCGGCCGCGAGGTTGGCGTGGCAGGGCTCTGGCTTCCCGCAGCTGCGGCGCGAGGAGGTAGAGTTCGTGAAGGCCAGGCCCTACACATGCAAGTCTACAGCTGCCGTCGCCATTCATGTTGAGGGCACTGGGCGTGGAAGCAGCAATCGTGCCACAGCCAGATATGCCATGTCAGCATATATTTACGGAAAACATCTGAACGTCTCGGCCTCGAGCCACCTCAAGACATCAGTGTCGGCTCGAAGATGCGCACTTGACTACACGACCATGTGAGTCATGCTCTTCGGCACGGGCTGTTCTGCTCCTACAGGATGAGACTTTGAAGTACCTACAGTTTTCTTTCTTGGAATCATTAATTGACAGGGGTGACAAAGGGAAAGGTAGGGTTGACAGGCCGTCCACGGTACAATGCTCGTTGAACGTCTTCCCTGTAGCGTTCGCAAACAGATTTGCGGTCTGTCTGAGTTAGAGAACATGAATCACTCCCCGACTCTGCGCATATTACCAGACGTAACGGCAATTGTTGCGTCTTGGGACATTTGATTGTTATCTTTGGTACATGCTGTGGGGCCCGCCCACGCCAGCTCAGTTCATGTCAGACACATGTTGCTTGAACCAGAGTGTACGTCTGCCGTGCGTTCGTAACATGATTACTCGTAATGTTAGTCTGGACCTCTGGCTACTAGTATCATGCTTGGTCCTGCTCCCCCTCGCAGCAGAATTCTCCCGTGCGAGATGCACACGAATGAGAGTATGCGACGCGCATGAAGCACTGAGCCGAGCAGTTCTGCCCTATGGTCCTATCTAGGGCCCGCGCACCAGCAATGGTGCTAAGGCCACCCGCACGGGCCGCCGGGCTCAGACCGGCGACGGCAGGCTTCGGTTCGATTCGCTTCTTCTGCGCGGGGGCTGCAGGGCCCCTCTGGGGCCTGGCCCAGGGGAGTACCCCCGCATCGTGAAGCGCAACGGGGCGAGCGTGGGCGGGGCCCGCCCGAGCCAAGCCTCTGGCTTCTCCGGGGGGCCCAGCCTCAAGAGCGGGACGCCGTGATCATGCCCAGTGCGCCCGAGCCGAAGGCCAGCGAAGGAAGTGCACAGACGGAAGCATCAGACGCCCACCAGCGGCAGACCGCGCAGTGTTCCTTCCTGGCCGCACTGCGCGCGCCTGGTGGAGATGCGACGACGGGGCCCCGCAGCGGCGGAGGGCTGCTGTCCGCGGACGGCGGGCGGCGACGACCAGCAGCAGCTCGCCGTCGGTCTCGGTGTCGCCGCGGACGTGGTCCACTGACGGACAGCATGGCGCCAGCCTGATGGGGCCCTGCTCCCGGTTTGGGGTAGCAGTTGCTGCTGTGCGTCGTGCGTGCCCAGCTCGCCGTGCCCATGTCGGGCGCCCACTTCTTCAACGTTGCCGGATGTGTGCTCTGGTGGCCCAGACTTCTGGCAGATTTGTCGTCCTGCCCGTGGGCAGCAGCTGTATCGACCCCTTCCCTGGGGCCAGAGTTTCGTCCCAGATGGTCCTCTGATGGCCCGGGGGGGCCTTGGAAACAGCTTCGAAAAGATCTCCGCCGGAGGTTTGGGAAGGAGGATGGGCGAGGAACGCTCCTCAGGTGGCCATTTTGCCAGAAGGCTCTGGAAGCCTCTGGAGCCCGAAGGAGGGGGGGCAGCGACAGGGGGGCGTGGCACCACACCCACCCCGCCCAGGAGCGTGCGGGTCCCCCGTCGAGGGCGCAGCGACGATTCATCGCCGATTCACCGCCGATCGGTGGGCGGGAAGCGGGTGCGGAGAGCAGGGATACGGTGCCCAGCAGCGACGGCTGTCCCAAACCGATGGCGGCCGCTCGTGGGCAGGCGGCCTTCTGCCTCGAATAGACACACACGCGCGGCGGCACCCACAGCGAGCCTTGCCCACAATGAGCAGGAGACGGAGGAGGAGGAGGAGGAGGAGGAGGAGGAGGAGGAGGAGGAGGAGGAGGAGGAGGAGAAGGAGAAGGAGGAGGAGGTGGAAGAGGAGGGAGAGGGGGAGGAGGAGGGGGAGGAGGAGGAGGAGGAGGAGGAGGAGGAGGAGGAGGAGGAGGAGGAGGAGGAGGAGGAGGAGCTGCCGGTCTCCGTGCGCAGTCTTTCCGATTTCGACCGCGCCGAGCCGATTCCAAGCCGACGCTTCCCTCCCCCCAGAGTCGGTTCCCCCCCGCCTCAGATCCGAAGGCGTCTCTCCGAGGGCTGGAAGCAACGACGATGCCATCCATGCACTGCCCCTTGCCGGCCCGTCGTGCTGGCCCTGATGCGGCAGCACTTCTGTCGATGTACTCTTCCACGCTGGCCAAGGGGCGCTCGAGGGACCAGTCTTCGAACACGCCTTGCCACGATCGTTGCTCGAGCCAGCGCTTCTTCCGCCAGCTCGCCCCTCCCGTTGCCCCATCTCGCCCGCGGCGCTCCGGGCACTGTCCGAGGATCAGTGATACAGACCTCGGAAAAATTAGCGAAGACGCATGCCACATTCATCGGTCAACACCTTCTCCTCCCCCCAATGTTCAAAGTTGGCGGTGGGTCTGATGAGTTGCACTTCGACAGCAGTATCCCCCGCGCGTGCCAACTTTGAGAGGGAACCGGAAGATGGCACAAACAGAAAAGCTCGAAGGTCCGCGCGGATGTCTTGGATCCGCGCTGGGCCCCCCTCCCTGGCGCGCGGAGCGCGCCAGGGGCGGCGCCAGAGGCGCCGCCAGGGGGCCCCAGCGCCGGTCCGAGAAATCTGCGCGGACCTCCGAGTTGTTATGTTTATGTCAGTGTTCGTTCCCCTATTTGAGTTTTGGGGGTGCGCGGTCAAGGGTGGAAAAACCACCCGGACCGGACAATCGGCGTTTCCTAAACGGCCTTGGGCGTGTACTAAACAGCCCTGCCCTGCTCGATTCCTTCTTTGGGCGCGTTTACTAAACGACTTCGCGTGTCGGGGGATTTTTTGACTTCTGTGGGGGAGTCTCCACTAATTGTTTCCCCCTGCCGTGTCGAGGGCGGCCTCGGTATATCCCCTCGATGGAGGCGCGGCGGCGCGCCCGGGGGGGCCCAAGCGAGCGGGGACGTGGCCTTCTCGGAGGGCAAGCGGGGCCTCCGAGGAGGCCCAGAGAGCCCCGCGAGACGATGCAGGCCCGCCCCCTCGGCCTTCCCCCCTGGGGCGCGCCGCCGAGAGGAGGAGGAGGAGGAGGAGG